CCCCCCCATCCCCCCCCCCGAAATGACATTTGAGTAACAAAACATTGCAACACTGGGCTGCTTTGCTGATCATTTTCTTATTGGCTTGTAGGAATTGTTCGTATATTCTTCTTTGTTAGATATGTGTTGTCCAATCTTCTCTCTGGTTTTAGCTTTATCTTCTTGATGTCATGTTTGTTTTTGTTGGGCAGAAGTTTGCATTTTATTGTAGTTGAATTTTATTTTTCATCTGCCTTAGGATGTGTGCTTTTTGTGTCTTGCACACCATGCCAGTGGGTCATTATTTGCCTGTATTTTCTTCTAAAAAGTTTTATGGCACATAGATCCTTAATCTATTCCAGAGTTGATTGTGGTGTCTAGTATGAGATGGTCAGGTACAATTTCATACTTTTTCCCCATAAGGGTAGCCTCAGTCATCACTTCTGTCCTCATTGCTGTGTCTTTCTGGCTCAGATATAAAGTTTTCATATATGCATGGTTCCATTGAGTCTAGTGTCTGTTGGTATAACCCTGAGTTAGTATAATACTGTTATAATTAATATCACTCTGTAATTAAAGTTTTGATTTGCAGGAGGAGGCGGGTATGGCAAATCTCCTTGTTATTCTGTTCTTTAAGGATGCTTTGGCTACTCTTAGCCCTTTATGTTTTCTTATAAAATTTTAAAACAATAGAACTAAATGTTTTGGAGAAGCCTCTCAATTGTTTTTACATAGCACCTTTTACTCACTCCTGTTACCCTAACAGAATTAGGAGGTTTGGGAAGTATTTTTTTCCTAGCACGTTATATATCAATTTGGAAACGTTAACAGGAGAAGAACTTTCCTCCTTCCCTGTGCCCTTGGCCGCAGGTAATGCTTCTCAGTGCTCTGTGTTTAGTCTAAGCCTGCCTTCTGACCTCTAGACCAGTGTGTCCAGCTGCGTGTTAAGCTTCTGCACGTTCCTGGCTCACACACAGCACAGGCTGTTGCTTGGACATGTTCTTTTATAGCTAACGGCACCACAGCCTGCTAGGCCAGCAGTCTAGAAACCACCCTTGACGCTCTTCTAAATAGTTGC